GACGATTCCCCTCTCTTGCTCGTCGAAGAGCATCCTGTCATCCTCATTCTCGAAGACGGCTCCCAGCACCACCAGGAAGCTGCGGAGGTAGTAAGGGTGGCCGGGCGGCGGCGCTGGGACCGTTTCACCAGGAACACCGCAGCTCGGCCCCAGCCCCGAAGGAACCCCGTGAGCGGTTTCATCCTTTAAGCCGCTGTCACCTTCCAGAGGGAGTTTGTGGAAGTCCCTCCACTCGGAAGCGTCATGGGTAGAGCTCTGAGATGACGCCTCCCCAGAAAGCTGTGTTTCAGATTCCGAAGCCTCAGGGACTTCGGTTTCTTCACCAACACCGGCCTCACGTGTCCCGACACCTTCACCATCCGCTTGTCCGACGCTCTCCTGCTCTGCACGGCTGTCCTCGGAAGCGGACGGTGGATTATTCCCAGGAGTTCGTTGGGGCGATAACACAGCATTATCTGGGGAGGCAGGAGCGAGGGTGGACCTCCCACGGTCCTGGGGAGGCTCTGGCTTTGCAGCTGCCATTAATGAGGGGCCTTCGACAGGATCTTGCTCCGTAAGAGAATCACAGGAAAACAGGTTTTCCTTTTGGGAGCTGCTCTCCAAGCCCCGATCCTCGTCCTCAGCCACAGCACAGCTGGCCACCACCCTGACCGCTGCGGCCGAGGCCTCGTTCTTCTCCGTGGCTCTTCTCGCCTGCAGGTACCTCCTGGATAACTTGGACGACAGGCTTCCCAAAGGAACGACTTGGACGTGGCGAGATCTCAGCTCGGCGTCTTGACTGTGGCACACGCCGCCATCGGTACCTTGAAAGTAGGGGCTGGTCCGCTTTTGTGCGCCCCTTGTTGCCGAGTGGCTTTGCTCGGGGGTTAAGTTTGTCTTGGATGGTGGCGACTTCTCCGGTGTTACCCCTTCTCCAGGGGCCACGTCTGAACCCGGGACGCCGCCCAGCCCCGGGGCCACCGGAGTGACGTCATCGCGGCTAGCACACATGTCATCGAGGTGCCGGTTCAGGTCATAGCGGGGCACCATCTGACTACACACCGGGCAGGCAAGTTTGGCGGGTGGCGCGTTGTTGAAACACAGCACGATGGACTTGGATGCATTTTTTTTCGCTCTGCTGCTCGACAGGCTTCGACGGGGCCTTTTTCTCGCGGGCGACGTCCCCCCTGGCATCATGCGCCCTGGAGAACCTGGCTGTGTCTCGGGGAGGAGAGCGAAGGCGCCCGCTGGGGGAGGGCGCAGGGGTTTGCTGGGACGTTCCCTGGCTGGACGGAGGAGAGCGGGCTTCCCTTGGACTGCATAGCACTCCCTGCAGAACACAGCACGTGCGGGTCAGACGGCAAGGCGCGCTCCGAAGCCTGCGCCGGGCACCGCGGAGGA